CCATTTTAATTATGATGTGTCAGGGTGTGGACCTTTTTGGGTTCATTTTGTTTGGGACTCTCTCTGCTTCCTGGACTTTTGGGTCTTTTTCCTTTACCAGTTTTGGGAAGTTTTCAGTCATTATTTCTTTAAATAGATTCTCAGTCTCTTGCTCTCTTTCAATTCCTTCTGGAACCCGATGATGCAGATATTATTACTTGATGCTGTTCCAGAAGTTCCTCAAACTAGCCTCATTTTTTAAAAAAATTCTTTTTCTCTTTTTGCTGCTCTGATTGCATGTTTTCTGCTACCTTGTCTTCCAAATCACTGATTCATTCGTCTGCTTTACCTAAGATTACTGATTGCATTTAGTATATTCTTCATTTCAGACATTGCATTTTTCATTCATGGCTGGTTCTTTCTTATGATTTCTGTGTCCTTTTGTATGTTTACTATCTATTTGCTTAAGTTCTCTCTAAGTTCATCCATTCTTTTCCTAAGTGTTTTGAGCATTTTTATAACCATTGTTTTGAATTCTGTATCTTGTAGATTGCTTGCCTCCATTTCATTTAGTTCTTTTACTGGGGATTACTCCTTTTCTTTGAGGCTTTTTTTCCTCCCCATTTTGGCTGCCTCTCTGTACTTGTTTCTGTGTATTAGGTAGATCTGCTGTGTTTCCCAGTCTTGGTGTTGTGGTCTTATGTAGTAGGTGTCTTGTGGAGCTCAGTGGTGTAGTCTCCCTGATCACCTGTGCTCCAGGAATGTTTCTTGTGTGGGTCATGTGAGCCCTCCTTTTGTAGTTGAGTCTTACAGTTGGCCTGTCCGTGAGTGGGATTGAGTCTCAGGTTGGCTATGAGAATCAACACCAACCACAATGTACGATCGTCTGTGTGGGGCCTGACCCCACAACATGGAATTCATGCCTGCAGGGTCTGGTGCCTACCAAGAGCTCCTTTTGGGTATGCCACTTGTGGAGCTAATTAGGTCATGATCTGATGTGGTCTGAAGCCTGCCACCAGGTGTGTTGGTTCTGGGGCCTCTTTGAGAAGGACATGGGTGCAGATCAGTATCAGGGGCTGCCCGTGCCTTGCCCTCGGCTACATGTTGGGAGCTACAAACTAATCCATGGTTTGAGTTTGTGGTTGCCTCTGCTGGGCATGGGTGTGCATGAGAGAGGGCAAATTGCGTACCAAGGCTGGCTTCCATGGGCACCAAGTTTAGGGACAAGTCAGCAAAAGGCCCAAGACACCCTGAGATCTGCCGCCAGCTACCTGTTAGGCTAAGTCACTGAAAGTCTCTGGTGGTAGGTGGGTTGCATGATAGCTTCTCAGTTAGTCACTAGGTAGGGGCTATTGGTGTTCTCCAGGTTGATACAAATTAAGACTTGGCACCAGAACTGAGTCTGATGATACTCAGCAAAAGTCTCAGGGTACAACAAGGCCAGCTGCCACCTACTAGGGGTCTGGGGATCTTTGTGGTGGCTGGGATCTCAGGGAGCTGTCCTGGTGAGGCCAGCAGAGTTCATCAGGCTAAAACAGACCAAGATTTGGCTATGCGGAGGAAGGGGAGCTTGGCACGGCAGGCCACAGGGAGTTGGGAGAGTGGGGCTAGTGCATTTACTTAGTCTGATGCTATACGGAGGGGAGTACTTGACCTAGGAAAGGTGGTTTCTCTTGGCAGTGCGGGTGAGGGAATCAGCACAGGACCCTTGGCAGCTGATCCTTTAACCTTCTCCCCAAAGCCACACAACCCTCTGAGCTGCCTTTCTTCCACTGGAGCCCAGGGTGAGTGCCCACAAATGAGATTTTGTGCTTTGGCCCTTCAAGAAGGCGCCTGGGTTTCTAGCATACTCCCTGGTGGATAGATCTTCACTGATTTTTCACAGCCAGATATTATATGGACATCTCTTCCCTGCTCTGGTGCTCCAGGCTGGGGAGCCCCGCATGGGTTAAGACTCCTTGCGCATCAGAGGGAACCTTTGCACCTGAGATACCCCTCAAGATTCTCAGCCACTGCGCATGCCACCCCTCAAGATTCACAGCCCTTTTCGCATCTCCACCATTCCTGCCAGGCTGCTTCTGTAAATCCTTGGTTATAAGACTTCTGTTTAGCTAGTTCAGTTGGTTATCAGGTTTATTGTTTTATAATTTAGTTGTAATTTCAGTTTGATCCTGAGAGGAAGTGAGTGTGCTTTCCCCTTACTCTGCTGCCATTTGAATTAATCATACTGTTTTCTTCATAGCACTTGTCCCTTGCTGAAATTATGTGTTTACTTGTTAATGAACAGTATCCGCTCACTTTTCTTTTCCCATGGTCTAGAACAGTGCCTAGCATAGAATTGCTGGTCTATAAATATTTTTTTAATGAATGCTACTAAGAGGTTGAATCAGGTGTGAATGGGAATGTTTCCATTGGATTTGGTAATATGCCATTTGTGTGTTTTTGATGAGTTTTTTAATTTCTATTTATTTTTAAATATATTTTTATTGGTTTCAGAGAGGAAGGGAGAGTGAGAGAGAGAGAGAGAAACATCAATGATGAGAATCATTGCTTGGCTGCCTCTTGCACACCCCCACAGGGGATCGAACCCGCAACCCAGGCATGTGCCCTGACTAGGAATTGAATCGTTGATCTGGTTCATCGGTCCATGCTCAACCACTGAGCCACACCAGCTGGGCTTGATGAGCAATTTAAATGGAGCACTGAGGTAGGAGTCAAGAACAAAATAGGCTAAGGAGTTATCCAGAGGTAAAGAATTAGAGAAAATGACTGTTTTTATAAGACAACTGTTGTGAGAAGTTAACTGTGAAGCATGGGGCTGTTGGTGAGTAGAGGGGGGTAAATGAGTCAAGAAGACAAGTCTTTGAGGTAACAGTAATAGATGTGTGGCAGGATTGACTTTCACATGGGAGGGACTTGTCCTCCCTTTTAGTAGGATGGAAAGTGATGAAGATAGTTACAAACTCAAGATGTTGTGTAGTTAGTGGTAGGGGCATGAGAGTGGAGGAGAATGAGCCAGCACCTGGTTAGCTGCCATAAGAAAGAAAGCTAAGTTTTGGATGGAAAGGAAGCCAGGCCCTATGGAATGGAAATCCAAGAACCTGCCTTCCAATATATCTCCAAGCCATATCTTGCTGTAGTTGGGATTCTGGCTGTGGAAAGAAGTAGAAACGAGTACCGGCATTTTGGATACATAGTGCTTAAGGATCTAATGTCTGCTTGCTTTAATCAGGAACAGTATTCTCTATGCCAGGAAACAATCTGAGTTTATGACAGGAAAATTCTTTTATCTCCTGTCTTCCTCTAGGTCAGTGATGGCGAACCTCTGACACGCGTGTCAGAGGTGACACGCGAACTCATTTTTTTGGTTAGTTTTTCTTTGTTAAATGGCATTTAAATATATAAAATAAATATCAAAAATATAAATCTTTCTTTTACTATGGTTGCAAATATCAAAAAATTTCTGTATGTGATACGGCACCAGAGTTAAGTTAGGGTTTTTCAAAATGCTGACACGCCAAGCTCAAAAGGTTTGCCATCACTGCTCTAGGTGGAGCCCATTAAGGCTGGGGAGAGAGTATGTTGTTGACTCTCATACCTAGATTGCCATCAGGATTGGATGTGTTCATGCTTTCAAATATTTATTTGTTTATGTACTAAGCACTGTTTTAGGCTCTATAGCAATGAACAAAACAGTCTATGCCTTCAAAGAGCTTTTATTCAAATGCAGGGAGACAGCTCTGGTCGGTTTTGTTCAGTGGAAAGAGCATTGGCCTGCAGACTGAAGGGTCCCGGGTTTGATTTTGGTCAAGGGCATATGTCCGGATTATGGGCTTGGTCCCCAGCAGGGGGCAGCCAATCAATGATTCTCTCTCATCATTGATATTTCTATCTCTCTTTTCCTCTCCCCTCCCCTTTGAAATCAATAAAAATATATTTTTTTGCTGGGGTCCAGCCCCAGCAGGTCCAGGGGTCCCCAAAGGTGTGGACGGAGTCAGCGAAGAAGGAATGACATGGAGACAGCGTTCAGTTGATCAGCAGCCTAGCCAGGATCTCTAGCCAAGTTCTGGTCAGGATCTCCAGCGAAGTTCTGGTTAGGATCTCCAGCCAGGTTCTGTGTCCATGTTCTCTTGCTAGGTTCTCCAGCCAGGTTCTCCAGCCAGGTTCTGTACAGGTTCTCCAGCCAGGTTCAGTCACCAGGTTCTAGTCAGGTTCTCTTGCCATGTTCTATCTAGGTTCTGTAGCCAGGTTCTGTCTCTAGGATCTTCAGCCAGGTTCTCTCCCTAGGTTCTGTCTCTAGGTTCTGTTGCCAGTTTCTGTCCAGGATCTTTTGCCATGTTCTGTCTCTAGCTTCTGTCTCTAGGTTCTGTTTCCAGTTTCTGTCCAGGATCTTTTGCCATGTTCTCTCCAGCGAAGTTCTTCTGTCTCTAGGTTCTGTGTAGGTTCTGTGTCTAGGTTCTGTGTCCTGTTGTCTTGTTACATCTGTATTTATACCAGTTGATTCCAATCCTATCAATCTCTATTCCAAAGGTTAGGGCGTTTCTTATCTCCATTCCAGGGAGTAAAGATTATGTAGCTTAAGCATGATTGTTCATAGTTAAAGTGATTAATTACCCACCGGGCACTTAGTTAAGGGGTTTTATTCCCTCCCTAACTTCAGGGGAAAATCCCTACCTGGGGAAACAACCTTTCTCAGAGAGGGGACCTTGGTTAAAACACATAGTGCCAAGAGGGTGAGCAAACATATTAAGAACAGTATGCCATATATGCCAGGTCCCTTGAAACAGCAAGGATGGACCGGCTCCCGGCATTTTTTAAATGCAGGGAGACAGAAAACAAATGTATGATAAGCAGAGATAGGGTAGCAGTAGGAAGTGTTGTCTCTCTCGCTCATTTTGTTCATGCCCTGTCTCTACAGAAGCATTGAATGAGCCCTTCTTCCTGGGTATTTCCCAGAGCACCCAACTTGAGCCCTCCATTGCACACAATAGTAATGACATGTTTTCTTTTCTCAATTTCAGATGAAACACCAATTATTGCAGTGATGGTGGCCCTGTCCTCTCTGCTAGTGATCGTCTTTATTATCATAGTTCTGTACATGTTAAGGTGAGCATGTGAACTAATGCTTCTCCATTCTCGTGGCCTCTATTTCAGTAACCCCAGGGCCTCAAGCCTACATAGTTCAGAAGACAGTAGGATAAGAATAATTAAGAGGATAGAGGGAAATGACTCAGGATAGTGCTCATAAGATTAAATTTCTACTTAGAAATTATTTAAAAGCGACATAGTCTTCCTCAAGACCCAGCCCCGTCTCTTGGCTTCCACCTATCCAAGTCCAGCCTCCCAACTCTACTGCAATCTAAAGTCCAGGATGGTGGTTTGGAGGTTGAGGGAAGAAGCCACAGTCTGTATTATTATTGATAAGTGTTTAAGATCTTCATATCTAGCCCTGTTGAAGCAACCCCTAAAAATCCCCTGGTCTCTATATAATAAAGCCTATAAAATATTTATACCTGGGGCTTTGTCCCCAAACCCCTCTAGGACTCCTTACCCTGGCATACTGCACTAAACCATGTGAGTTATAGGGTTCCCCTTTCTGTCTGACTTTCTTTCAAGATCCTCCAGATAATACTACTCAAACGGAACAAAAGCAAGAAAGGGGAACCCAAGGGAGAGAAGAGGGAAGTGTATTTGTTATCTTCCTACCGCCCTGACTAATTAGGCTTAACTTCGCCCTTATCTTTGGCTTAAGCTGCTCTGTGTGCTCTCTTTCTGTTCTACAGATATAAAGAGAGGGGAACCTTGGACACCCCTATAATTTGTCATGTGTATCCACCATCCTGCAGGAGACTTAAGACCAGATCTGTGCTCACCCAGTCTGAAACTCTGATCTTTTCCCTGGTTGCACTGGGGAAATAACAGTATTTTTATTTGATATGGATATTCTTATCTACTCCTTCCCCCTACTATACTCTACCCACTCATCCTTTTTTCACCTGGTATGACTGTAATCTTCAGGGAGTTCTGGAACTAGAACTGCACATAGTCACACAAGCTAGAATATACCCTTGGTGATACCTGGGTTGGATTCTAGTGCTGTGGTCGCCAACCGGTGGTCTGCGGACCACATGTGGTTCGTGAGGTCCGAAAGGTTGGCGACCGCTGTTCTAGTGTGCTGAGGGTGAGCAGGAGCATCATGTGCAGGACCTGTCTCTTAAAAGAGCCTGGTTAGCCCTAGCCGGTTTGGCTCAGTAGATAGAGCACTGGCCTGAGGACTGAAGGGTCCCGGATTCGATTCCTGGTCAGGGCACATGCCTGGGTTGCAGGATCGATCCCCAGTCGGGGGTGTGCAGGAGGCAGCCAATCAATAATTCTCTCTCATCATTGATGTTTCTATCTCTCTCTCTCTCTCTCTCTCCCCCTTCCTCTCTCAAGTCAATTAATTTTTTTTTTTTTAAGCCTGTTTATTTGGTAAAGAAGATTTAGAAAGGCTGAATTGAAAGTGGAAATACAAAGCCAATGATTGGTCTCTTCTGCCTCTGTGCTTAGTTTTTCACATTTTCTCATTAGGTTTAAGAAATACAAGCAAGCTGGGAGTCATTCCAATTCTTTCCGCTTATCCAATGGCCGCACTGAGGATGTGGGTAAGGAACTCTAATGGCATGGGAAACCTTCATGGAGAAGAAAAACAAGAAATTAGTGATTTCCCTATTCTAAAAGGAAAAAGACTTGAAGAGAGCAGCTCTAGTTCTTGGAAGCTCGGTCCATGAGCTAGAATCCCCAATTTAGTTTCCAGAGAAGGACTAGTCCCCAGGGCACATAACTAACTTTCCCCTTTATGCATTGCAGAACCCCAGAGTGTGCCACTTCTGGCCAGGTCTCCAAGCACCAACAGGAAGTATCCACCTCTGCCCGTAGACAAGCTGGAAGAGGAGATTAACCGGAGAATGGCCGATGACAACAAACTCTTCAGAGAGGAATTCAACGTGAGTTTTTTGCTGAGACTGGTGTGTCAGCAGGGAGGAAGGCAGACCTAAGGTGTTGGAGGAGAAAACAGGTTTTTAATGGGTTAAGAGGTGAGAAAATGTTCACCAAGTTCTTCTGACTCCTTTCCTATATGATTATGGACAGGAAATGACCTCCCTTATCTATCCATCTATTCATTCATCATCACATCTGTTACTTTGTTTAATAAATACTTATTAAGCATTTAATATGTGCTAGGTGCCAGGGATTTGCTGGGGAGCAAAAACAGATTTAATTTCTACACTCAAGAAATTCACTGTCTATAAATAAGAACAAAAATAACTAAGTTCAAATAGCAATATAGGACATAAAGGACTGGCGCATAGTAGTAGGAGCCTCTATTAACGGTGGCCTTTTAGAGTTTGGATTAGGGATCCCAGAGTGTCTTAAGTAGACAAGGAGTAGCTCAGTGTGGAAAATGAGGACCATGGCAGACTGCAGAGTAAAGGCCTCATCTTGGGAATTTAGATTCGTATTTTTTTATAACTCCCTCAAGAAAGCAGAACATATTTGTGAATCTACCAGTTGGTGATTCTAGCCCAGGGGTGGGCAAACTTTTTAACTCGAGGGCCACAATGGGTTCTTAAACCGGACCGGAGGGCCGGAACAAAAGCATGGATGGAGTGTTTGTGTGAACTAATATAAACTCAAAGTAAACATCATTACATAAAAGGGTACGGTCTTTTATTTTTTTAGTTTTATTCATTTCAAACGGGCCGGATCCGGCCCGCGGGCCGTAGTTTGCCCACGGCTGTTCTAGCCCATCGGTTCTGATCCCAGGTCAGAACTTCTTTGAAGAAATGATGTTTTCATTGAGACCCAATCAAAGGCAAAGACATTGGGGAAAGGGAGATGGGAGGGTGGAGTGGGGGGGACTTTCCAGACACTCGAAATAGCAGGAGCAGACTGTTAATAATGAGGGTGGGTGAGGGAAGGGCCCATTCAGAAAATAAAGAAGGGCTATGTGTGGCCGAAGGGCAGAGACTCTAGAGAATAGTAAGAAATGAAACTGCAAGAAGATGAGACCAGGCTATAGATCTTACAGATTGTCGTGAAGGAAATAGAGCTATGGACTAACCAGGTTTGTATTTTGAAATAAAATGGTGCTATATAGAGAATGGCCCATGGGGAGATCAGAATAGGTGCAGGGAATACAGTGAGGGGCTACAACAGCGGTTGATACCAGAGGTGCTGATAGATTGGCGTAAGCTGGTCATGATTAGGGAAAGGGGAATGGATTTGAGGACATAGAGGACCAACTTGGGCATTGGTAAACTCTCAGTCACTTTACACCTTTCAACTGAAGTTGGCTCCCCTTGTGACACCAAAATGGCTACCCCAGTTCAAGGCACCACATGGAGGTTTCACAAGATCCAGTGGACAAAGGATGACTGTTTCTTTCTGTGTGTCTCCTTTTACCAATGAGGAAAACTTTCCCAAAAGCTTCTGAAGACTTCCCTTGTCACATGCTTCTGTTTAAACCAGTCATAAGCAAGGAAGAAATAGGCTTACTGCAACTGACAGAACCCAGTCCAAATTAGTGGAGCTCTAATAGCAAGAAGGAAAGGAGCTTCAATTACCAGGTGGGTGGGTCACCACTCATCTGCTCCACCAGTGAAGGGTTTAGGGGAACAGAGATATGTGGTCAGTTTTGCACTCTGAGAAAATCATTAGCTCCAAGTGAAGAATAGCTGGGAGGGAGGCAAGAACTGAAGCAAAAGACCGTTTACTGGGCAAGAGTTAATAGAATAACTTGGACCCTTTTTTCTGGCTGTTGAAAAAAACAGCATCATTTTTGCTCATTGTTGCTTGAGACTTGGTCCCCACAATATAGCACCCAAGCGATGGCCCGGGGGGCTCAGTTGGTTGGAGGGTTGTGCCACACCCAAAGGTTTCGGGTTCAATCCCCAGTCAGGTTGCATTTGGGAGGCAACTGATCAATGTTTCTCACATCAATGTTTCTCTCTCTCAAAAAAAAAAATAATAGTAATAAAAACATATTCTCAGGTGAGGATTTAAAAAGAGTTCCCAGCCTCAGCACCATCACTAGGTCTCCAATAGACACACTATTGGAGCCTGTAGTGCCAACTGCTTCTGGGTAATGGAGTATGTGTCCCCATGGCCATACCTCTTTGTGTGTGAAATGAAGTCTTTGTTTGGAGGTAATAGTCACTGAGATCCCATGATAAGGCAACCCAGTAAATCCTTGAATAGAGGTGGTGTTCTTAGAGGCATGGTAGGCAAATTCAATAGATACTGTGGTGAGAGCCAATTGCCAGGCTACCATGGCCACTATATTCATGGGCTCATTGGGCCAGCAATGGGATATTAAGGGAAAGGGCTAACCAAGATCTCCTTGGCGGTTAGCAATGAGTGCCATCTGGGAGGACATAACTACTTCCTATCTTTTTTATTTCAGTCGTCTAATACCTTGGGATCGGTTTAGATCCTGATCGCCAATGAAGTAGGTAGTGGGGTGCCTTGCTTGAAGTTCTGTTCATTAGAAGGATTTCTCTTTTATACCATTCAGGGTCATCTGTTAAGTCGATTATCTCACAGCAGTCTACCTCCAGAATGGGCTAGCATGTCTCAGAGCCATTTGTACACTAGGCTGGATGTTTTTCTTTGTCAGTCAACTGTTGAAATCATCGGGAAGTCAGAGGTGTCTATTAAAGGGAGTGGGTGTGTTGCAAATGTTCCATACACATCACTTCCAGCTGGTGGTGGAATTCTGCTGGACATGTCCAAAGTTATGGCTTGTTGAATCACATAATACTTCTTTAGTTGAAGTCATTTGGATATCTAGTGTCCCATGGTTAGACTTACATTCTCTACCAGAGTATGCTGACAAGATCATGGTCTTGTCCCCCAAATCTTAAGGTTTTCTAATATGATTCTCCTGCTCAACCTTAACCAGACACATGGGGCCCCATATGCCAGTTTCTCCATGGCTTTGATCAGCTAGAGAGCCTTCTGTTTTCAGATCACTCAATAAATGAGTCAAAGCAGGATATCAACATGTGTTATATGCTGTCTCCAAAATCCAAAATGGCCCAGCAAGCATGGATTATCTCATCATTATCCGGCAACTTTTAAGTCTTCTATAGCACTTAGGATTTCTGTGACTCACCTAGGGACTTACCATTTGGTAGAGATTGCTCCTCCAGCAATTTGCATTTGCTCTTGCTACTGTATAGTCCTTATCCAAAGACTTCAGGTAGTCTAGTGTGGGGATTTTGCTGCTTGCTAAAGATATCTATTCTAACTATACATTGGGAAAATACTTTGTTCCTAATGTGAGGCCAGCTCAGCAGGCGAAAACTCCTTCCATCAGCTGGCCTGCAAAAGCTCCATTCTAGCTGGCATAAAAGAATGACATTCTGGGTTCTCAGGAATTAGTTAGCTCAAAGCCAGACCCCAAATAGTGATTCCCCTTTACCTAGTGAAGTTACCATGGCAAATGGCTTCAGAATCTTAGGGGGAAATGAAGACGACAGTTCATGGTATATGCCTGTTGATGTGCTGTGGACATACAAATTACTCATATGTCAAATCACTGTGACGTTTGCTGCACCAACTAGCGGTGGGGTATCTGAAGCTGGCTCGTAACCCAAATTTTAGCTCCCAACTCAACTCAAAGCAAAAAATCAGCTGAGAGACGGCTCGTATCTCGAAAAACTCGTTAGTCAGTACACTCGTAAGTCAAGGCCCCAAATGCCGCATCCTCCGGAAATTCTGTTTCTTTGTTATGGGTTGGAGGCTCAGAAATCAGGATTTTAAAAAGATTCCCAGGTGATTCTAATGTGCAGCCAAGGTTGAGAACCACTGCTCTAGGATGTGTTATGCTTGCATCCTTATATCCATCAGCCGTGAGAGTGGAGAGAACTTTTCACCATGAAAACAAGATACAGTAGAGAGATTTTTAGAAGTTGGCCTTTGCCAACTCCTCTGTTGCCTTTCAGCATTATTTCAATTGTCTCACCAAGGCCCTGTCTTTCATACAAGCAACCCAGGAAAGATGTGAATTCCATTGTCATTAACATTTAGCAACCAGCAAAATTCTGAAATGTTAACATTTGGTTCAGCAGAAAACATAGCCAGTCATAGGAAGGCCCTGAGCCTCGCACTGTTTGTGCAGGTGAGCATTTGATATTGGAGCTGGGCTTTTTCTTGTTTTGTTACCAGACGTTGTCAGAAGTAATTCTCAGTGTCAACATTTCTCATCTACTTTTTTTTTAAATATATTTTATTGATTTTTTACAGAGAGGAAGGGAGAGAGATAGAGAGTCAGAAACATCGATGAGAGAGAAACATCGATCACACTGCCTCCTGCACATCCCCCACTGGGGATGTGCCCGCAACCCAGGTACATGCCCTTGACCGGAATCGAACCTGGGACCCTTCAGTCTGCAGGCTGACGCTCTATCCACTGAGCCAAACCGGTTTTGGCTCATCTACTTTTAATTGGAATTCTCCCACCCCTTTACCACCAGCTGAAACACATTCCAGGTGATTACAAGCAGTAACTGAAGTTCCTTTCTCTTTATCTGAACACGGGAATCAGATTTACATCACCCACATTTCTCCCATCAGTTTCTCAACTACAACCCACTCACTGATACTAACTGCTAAGTCACTTCCTTTATTTAAAAACTAGAGAAGTCAACACAACTAAATGAAGCAAAACAACAAAACTGTCAGTTGGGGAGACACTGGAAAAGTTGACAGAACCAAAAGATGAGGTAGGCTACCAGCACTTGGGCAGAGCAGGCCCTGTTCTGCTGGCTCTAGGGTCCTTTCAAGAAGCCTCTGCTGCTTTCAAAGTCCTGCCTGGCAAAGAGAATCTGGTTGGCACCGTATGGGACAAGTGTGACTGTGCTTGCATCAGTTAACCCTATCAGGAAAGAAGCTGACAAATAACACCTAGGACAAACACACCAATTTGTGTCTTCTATCATAG